TTGGTCGGTCAACAACAAACATTCATATCGACGAACTCGTACAAATGTTGTAATTTACCAGTTAAACGATAAATGCGCACATTTATGTATGTATGTATATTTACACTTTGGTATGGAATACTGAAAATCACGCCACCTAAACCCGGCATTCGCAAGAAAAAAAAAAAACAATATGAAAAATGGAAAAAAAGTCGCTTTCAGCAAATTCTCTCTCTTTAAGCACATTTTCGTACGAATATTGAAGTTTGCGAAATTTCTGTATTCGCTAAATTATCTAAATCATTCTTTTGTTTATACATATATACGTACACATATATACATACATACTCTTCTGTCGGCGTATAATTAGTATTATTTTGGTATTATTCATAAATCGATATAAGATTTCGCAATGTGGGTCAAAAACGCTTATCATCAAAGTGATATGTACTCGCACTTGAAACTTTCTAAATCAAGTTCAAAGTCCATCGACGACGCGTAAGATTCATTTTAAAAACAAACAAACTAAATTGCATACATACGAAATGTGCTCAAAAAATATCGCGAATTTTGTTTTTTTTTCAAAAATTATTTATTTATTCATGAATATCTGTTTTGTCCCTTCAAAGTAATTCCCATGACATATTATACACTTGTGCCAACGGTTTTTCCAATCTTCGAAGCACTTCAAAAAATCTTTTTCTTTTTATCTTGTTCAGCTCCTCCTTCGATGCCGTCTTTATGTCATCAATCGTAGCGTAACGTCGTCCTTTCATGAGCCTCTTCAGTTTAGGGAACAAGAAAAAGTCACAGGGGGCCAGATCTGGGGAATACGATGGCTGCGGCATCATTAGTGTGTTGTTTTTGGCCAAAAAGTCGCGCACAAGCAACGATGTGTGAGCAGGGGCGTTATCGTGGTGCAAAAGCCAATTTATGTTCGTCCACAAATCCGGACGTTTCTGGCGGATCGCACGTAATATTCCTTATTGACCGTTCTACACTGTGGCAAGAACTTATGATGCACCACGCCCCTGCAATTAATTTTTTCGTCTGTTGTTGAAGTGCTCGGTCATCCGGCACGCTCTTCGTCGTTCACATCTTTTCGGCCTTCTGAGAACATTTTTCGTACCACCGATAAACGTTGCTTCGGTCTAAGGTAAGGTAAGCTTCTCCGTATGCCACAGTCAACATTCGGAATGCATCCGCGCACTTAATTCCGTTTTTCACACAAAATTTGATACAAGTTCTTTGATCCATTTTTTTGAATAGGTAAAAATCGAGGACCATTCAAAGCAAGTGCAAGCAAAGCAGCTGTCAACAACTAAGTGAACATTCAAAATCGCCGAGCTTGTCCGTATAAGTGACAGACATGAGTACCAGCATAACGCCACAAAAAAATCGAAATTCGATTATACGTAACCCCCGAAAATTCAAATTTCGCGATATTCTTTGAACACACCTCGTACATAACATGAGCATACCTACATTTGTTTACGTATGCACGTCGTCGTCTCGAACATAATTTTCAATAATGACGCAACTGTTTCTAATTAAGAGCACCGTGGTGTTGAACATTTTCTAAAATGTGCGCGGAGAGTGGGAGAATCTTTAATGAACAACAAGTTGAGGTACCGCTGAAGCAATTTTCGTCCGAGCTCCTCAACCATCTCCGATTTGTGGTGGGCGTCTTGATGTTTTTTTCAACAAACCTATAGTTTTTTTCTAAGCCAACTCCGATAGGACGACGCAGTTTTACAAAATAGCATTTATTTCATATCAGTTATACAATCGGAGCATTTTACATTTCCTGCAGAGAAGCTTACGTGATTATAGCCGAGTTAGCAACATTGCGTCATTCCTTCTTTTCGCTATTTGGCGACAATTGTATATACCAAGTACAGCGCGGTCATTACCTACCTTGTCTTTCCAGCAAAGTAAAGGTATTCCACTTGCTCTGCTTCCTCCGGCGCGTACTGCATCAAAAACCTTCAGAGCTGGGCCAAGACGGTAACGATGAGTTGGTCTTTGTTCGTCGAGAGAGGATTTGTCTTTACAACTGCCTACTCGGTGCAAAGTGGCAGCTGTTGGCAAGAGTGATTCTGCGTTTGATTTCAATTCCGACATTGTTGTTGGTGTTAATACTGGTAACAAGATAGATGAAGGTAGCTACGACTTCAAAGTTATTACACTCGACAGTGTCGTAGTAGCGGAGTCACTAATGCGAGGACTGTTTGTTTGAGGAGAGGATATATTTCGTCTTGCCGTCGTTCACTACCAGACTCATATCCTTCGATTTCACAGCCAGTCGGGAGAACGCAGAACTCACCAGGCTTCTTGAGGCCTGTAATGTCAATATCATAGGCTTATGCCATCAGCTTTACAATCTTATAGAAGATAGTAACTTCTCTATTCAGCTCTGTTGCTCATATTATTTTCTCCAGCAATAAAGTCACGGGATAAGGAATCACTTTGTCCGAAACCTTGTTTGGTATCAAACGTCTCGGAGAGATTGGGCAGAGCACACTTAGATTAAAATGTTGTTTTTGTAACCGCAAAAATATTCCCCAAAAATACTTTTTGGGGAAAATTGCGGGAGTGACAGTCCTTGGCCGGAAAAAAATCCGGGTCGTTCCGGTATAAAGACCCGACTGTTGCGGGAACTATTGATATTTTAGTCGCATCTTACGAAAGGCATTCCTTACCGCGGATAAATTCTTGAGCTCCTAGCCCGCCCCAATCGTCGGGCATGCTTTTATCCGCACACATTTTGTTAAGGGGCTGAAGCTGTCATCTGGTCGGCCATCAGGTTTAGCCGATTTATTGTCCTTTAAGCGGGCAATCTCTTTTCGAACCTCTTTATAGACGAGTTCACCATATCCGGGTGTTATATTTTCACTTCCATTCAGCAGGCTGGAGAAGTACTACCTCCATAAATTCAGTTTGCTCTGGACATCAGTCACTAGATCATCTCTTTGTGTCCTACAAAAGTCTCCTCCGGACTTGAAACTTTCTCTAAGTCGCTGTATCTTTTCGTAGAATTTTCGAGCATTACCCTTGTCGGCCAGCTTCCCAAGTTCTTCATAATCAGCAATTACAAAAAATCCTGGTCACGACAAGCTGCCGGCAGTTCCGTGAGGTCATTTAAATCCGTCATACCCTTTTACGCTCTCTTCCCGTGAATAATCGGAATCGGAGTAACTTCGGCACAAATAAGATCTGAATATAGCAGCGAATTCGTCTTCAACTTACCGAACCTTGACCTCGACGAACTTAGCATATATCCTACATGCATGAGTGCCCGTACGATACTCTCCACCTCTCACTATCTCATCCTCTTCGTGAAAATAGCTCTTTTTTTGAAGCTCCCATTAGATAACCTGGGCAACATCGACTATATTTGTTTGCTCTTGAAAGGTGCCAGCAACGACAACCCTGGACACTAACCACCTCACCTCTTTACATGCCCTCTAAAACTAACACATCTAAGATCCGTACGAGTGAAAAGTCCAGAAAACGCTGAACTGCAATTTTTTTGCAGGGCCACTTGAATTTCTCCTAACCTAACCTAACCTGTAGGTGTTCTATGTACTCCTAAAACATTCTTCACATACAAAAAGATTGAAAGAAATTAAATCTTAAAGATTTAAGTGTGGAGGAATGATTAATCATTAAATAAAAATGTGGCGGCACGATCTTTCACCGCCCAGTCTGGCTACCTCGCTGAGTAAGCCGTCAGTGTTCGGACTTCTTTTTTTTGTTAAATGTAATAAATCTGCTGCAATTTTAACAATACAAATAAAATTTATTACAAATAACCAAAAAATAATATATGAGGAGCGTTCATATACCACGTAGCTCGGCCAAGAGTGGCAGGGAATAAGTGCAAATTATACGCTGAATCAAGAATCATCAGGATGTGGTGAAAGAAAAATCTTCAGTTGAAACGCTGTCTGTGGATTCGCCTCAAAACTTTTAATCGTTTTCAGCAAATCTTATATCAAATAAAATTTATTTCCACGAAGAGTTTTAATTTATACACTTTTGGTCTCACACTAATAATAATAAAATAGTTCGAGCACTGATCAAGCAAGGTAAGTATTCATAATTGATTGACAGCGATGTGAATTGTTTACATCCCGAAAGGGGTAACAAACGTCAAACATATTTACATTTACTTTATTTATTTTAGTTTTTTTTTATTAAAAACTACTTCTAATTCACATTTTATATTATTATTTTTATATAGTCTACATTATTCTTCTTTTACTACTCATTAACTATGAGCAAGTATATATTTAAAGAAGCGGGTTAGCGGTACTTGAATTTACCCAATGCAAGTCATGCCCATCGTAAGCTACTAAAATACAACAGTCCCCGCAATTCGGGTCTGCATACAGGAGCTAGCCGGATTTTTATACGGCTAAGCAATGTCATTCCTCTAATACTAACCCATAAACCAATTTAGGGAATATATTTGCAGTTACCACAAAAACATAAACACAAACGTATTTAGATCAGTTCAGTGTAATGAACCAAAATATGATTTTAGTTTATAATAATTATAAAGCCGAAAGCCCGGATATCTACTTGCAAAGCCTGGCGATTTTTGAGATTACATTCACTTCTTCAAATCTAAATTTAAAAAACTTTAGCTTACACAATAATAGTTCACACTCTGTTGGGTTTATACCAGAACAAATTGTTTTTTTTTTTTTTTTTTTGCCTGGACAAAGGCTTGATTAGGCAAGACGAAACTAATTTATATAAACTCTTCATCAATAATGACTCTGCGACAGTGAAAACTAATTTATATAATTTTGGAGATCAATTTGTTTGCACTAGAACTTGAGATTCTCGCATTTCACATGATGGCATATATTTATATGGGAGTTTGCTTTATTTTTTTAATAATCTACAAAGCTGACAAGGCTACAAAAACTGACGAACTGTCTATTATAAGAAACATATTTTCCCTCGATTTTGAGAATATAATATTTACAAACATAAAAAACACAAGGTAATTTGTTAAATTATTCACTTTTAATAATAGTTTTCTAAAATCTGAATGCACATATTAAAAAATGATTTTCAGTTTCACTTAGTAGCACATTTATATTCAATATTGAATAACAATGCACAAGATGGAAATAAAAGTAAAATAAACGAAAGAAGAAAGTTTACTTCTTCTTCGACACACCGACAGTGCGACCACGACGACCGGTGGTCTTAGTGTGCTGACCACGCACACGGAGACCCCAGTAGTGACGCAGACCACGGTGGGAACGAATCTTCTTCAAACGTTCCAAATCTTCACGCAATTTTGAATCCAAATTCGACGAAGTCAATTGGGTGTATTTACCATCAATGATGTCCTTTTGTCTGTTGAGGAACCAGTTTGGTACTTTGTATTGTAGGGGGTTTGAGATGATGGTGACAATCTTGTCAACCTGCAAACAAGAAACAAAGAAAATAGTATTATTTTTGTGTTAAAAATACGCTTTATTTATATTATATTACCTCCTCTTCAGTGCATTCACCAGCGCGTTTGGTTAGATCAACATCGGCCTTCTTCAACACAATGTTGGAGTAACGGCGACCCACACCTTTGATGGCAGTCATGGCAATACCAACTTTACGTTTGCCATCTATGTTCGTATTCATAATACGAAGAATGTGCTGGAACTTGTCTGGAATTACGAGAGACTATATTGGGAGAAACAAAAAAAAACATATAATTAGTAAAAGAACACCTCAAATATTTTAATTTGTAAAATGATACTATAGCACTATAAGGCAAACACAACTCCTTAGGCATCAAAATAGATTAAGAAAACGCTGTCAATTTTGTTTTCGCAGTTGCTGTAAGCCACATATTTTTAAAGCTTATACACTATAACTAGTTTATTTCGTTATTCAACGACACGAAATCTATATTCGTGTATAGATGTTTTTGCAATTTTGCGATTTTCGAACATCACATACCATTTTGCCCTTGTTAAGCGACCGAGTTTAAGCCGAAAAAGACAGTTGGACGGAAACGAGAAAAACGTCAGACGTATTGAACGAGTGCGCCATGTTGAAATATTGCCCACTCGTTGGTTTTCCCTAGGTGAGTTTTTGCACTTCGTGAGTATGTTCACGAATGTGGCATATATATAGTTCACAAATAGATGGCGCTGAAAGAAGTTGTACAAAAAATTTAATTATTTTTTATTATAAACAATATAACAAAAGAACGTAATTCTGTGATTTTTATGACTATGTGAAACATAGATTTAAACATTTATGTTTGTTGCTATTTTATTTATCTCTTCTTAGTTGTGGGTGATATGTATGTATGTATAGGCACGTGCCAAGTAAGCATAATTATGTTTGAGTACTTAAATTAACTTCGGCGCATCTAACCGAAATTGCTAAGCATGTTTGCAGATATATATTGTATGTACATATGTACTTACATACAAACTGATGCTGTAGAGTAGATATTTGTTTTACTAAGTTAAACGACTGCGGCATACTTTTGAAATTTAATGAGCTTAAGTGCTTTCCACTGTCACCTTTCTGAGTGTTAATCGCAAATACTGGATTGTATACATACCGATTGAAATACATACAAACATACCTATATATTTATGCATATGGTTAAAAAAATTAAAACTCAATTTATATGGAAATCCTTAAAAAATCATTCTTCTTCTGATAAAAATGTAATGATTTTAATTCGAGCACGTGATTTTGAATCGATTTGTGGAGAAATTCTCATGCTCTGGATGTCTCTTTCCACTTTTAATCCGGCTAAGGACTGTCACTAAAAGGAAGAGACTGTTGAGAAAACAATCGTTACACAGGACTACTTTGTCGATTTTGAGACTTCCAACCATAGAACGAAACGAAAGGAAAAGGAACAGCTTCCCCGCCCTTATGTGTGAATTTGGTATCCTGGCAATACTTATATGGCTTAGTAAAGAACGCTGAGCAATACCAGGAGAGCTGCCTAAAACCAACACAACTAGCCGCCCCTCTCCCTTTGGTCCGAAATCGTTGAAACAGCTCGATTCCTGGACCTCCCGCTAAACGACTTTGGTGACTTGGGTTGACTAGCCTGTTCCGAAGACACGCAGCCAGAATCGTCAGCTCATTCGGTATCAAACAAGGATTCGGACCAAGCGTGGCGATTGGCTCTGGAACAAAGGCGAGACGAAATATTTCCTTTCATCAAACAAAAAGAACAGCAGACTGGCGTCTTGGCTTCTACGTCAATACTAACTTAGAAAGCTATTAAAAAGTAGAGTTCTCTCGACGAACGAAGAAAATGCCGTGCAGAGGTAACAGAGGTTTACGCAGACGATGAAACGACCAAGGCGATATTGACATGGTTAAGTCATGTCAACCGAAAGCACTGTAGCTTGGAGAGTATTCGATGCAAGTATCGAAGTAGTAGAAGTAGCTGAAGAGAAACCTGGCTTTACTTGGAGTTTCCGAACGCTAAAAAGGACTAAGAAGAAAAAACAGGCGCACAACCGTTGAACTCGCGTAATTGGTCCTCTGGGCAATAAGAAGAAAATTAAGAAGAAATAAAAGAAGAAGTAGAAGAAGAAAAAAGAAGAAGAGAGAATAAGAAGAAGAAATAAAAGAAGAAGTAGAAGAAGAAAAAAAAAAAGAAGAGAGAATAAGAAGAAAAAATAAAAGAAGTGAAAGAAGAACAAGAAGAAGAAAAAGGAGCAGAATAAATAAAAAACGTGGAACAAGCAAAAGAAAAGGAAAATGAAGAAGCGAAGAAGAAGAAGAAAAAGAAGAATAAATAAATGAAGTGGAAGAAGAAGCAGAAAAAGAAAATAAAGAAGAGAAGAAGAGAAGAAGAAGAAAAAGAAAAATGAGAAGTTGAAGAAGAAGAACAAAATAAGAAAAAGAAGAATAAAAAAAGGAGAAGAAGAAAAAGAAAAAGAAGAAAAAGAAGAAGAAGAAAAAGAAGAAGAAGAAAAAGAAGAAGAATAAAAATAAGAAAAAGAAAAATGAGAAGTTGAAGAAGAGGAAGAAAAATACGAAGAAGAAAAAGAAGGAAAATGTAGGAGAAGAAGAAGCGAAAAGAAGAAGAAAAAAAGGAAGAAGGAAAAGAAGAAGTTGAAGAAGAAGAAGAAGAAGAAGAAGAAGAAGAAGAGAATATGAAAAAGATGAAAGAAAAGAAGAAGTTGAAGAAGAAAAAAAGAGATAGAAACAGAATAAAGTAAAAAAGAAGAAATAGAAAAAGAAGAAGAAGTATAATTACAATAAGCTCAGTCTGTAAGATTTGTATCTCTGCATATTCGCACCTGACGATTGCATGCAGTGCAAATTCTTAAGCGGTGGCGTTATTAGAGGGATAAATGAGACAATTGAGTTATTGATGCTCAAGCTCTTAGTTGCACAGAAGTAGGCGATACCTTGCTGAAAAGGGCTATGTGGCAATTGTAATGTATCTTGTCGATAAAACTGGAACTCACATGAGGTATTGACTTTGATTCCTAGTGAATTTTTGCTGCCAAACATCATTTCCTTCTTCCATCTCTGTTACTGTTTGAACACACTCCCCCTCATATTCCAGCTGCCAAGATTTCAGGAGTACGACTTTAGAAACAATGTTGCCGAAACTTTCGCGTAAATGTTGCTTGAGGCCATTAGCAATGTTTACAATTTTAGAAAAATTTTCTTATGAATGAAATATTGTTTTTGCTTCTGCGCACTCCAGCGGCTATGCTGCTACGCTGCCACGAACAATTGCCGGCAACGGCATGCATGACACGAGTCCGCCACCGCTGCTTCTGCTGCTGCTTTTGCTGACTGCTGGTGGAAAACTCCAAAATGTAATCGCAACATGCTTTTCCTCACAGATTCGCGCGTTTGGCGCCAGTTGTCGCGGAGGCATTCATCAATGCACTTCTCCTTCAGTCGAGCTGCTCGGTAGCACGCGTTCAGTTGATTCACAAATCCAAAGCGAACAAAACAAATGTTTAGTGTTTCAAACTAATTCAACCGGTGCTGTAAATGTTCCAAAAATATAAAATTTATTATTACACAATTTTTTTTTTTTTTGGAAAATTTGTTACAAATTGCTGTGCGGAAATTTCACAATTTGATTTGATTTAAAAAATTGATCTAAAGCCAAAATTTGAGTCAAATATCGATGCTAAATAGCGAGAGCAATTTCATTTACTTTCATCGCATAAATAAAGAATATAAGCAAATAAGTAAATCGAATGAAAAAATATGAAAGGAAAAGCTATTATAAATTCCTTGTCGATATGGAAAATTAAAATTTATTGTGCAAATTAATGTTATGTGTAATAAAATAAAAATTTCATTGAGATTATAAATTAGAAATCTGTTCATATATAAATATATACATACATATATACACATAGTGAAAATACGGTTATAACATAAATACATACATACATATATGTAAACTTTAATACAATATTAAAGTGTTAAGTTCAAGTGCACAGTGTCAATTGATATTCGAAATATTTATGTGAGTACAACAAATAATTTCTTATGCTCTTTGAACAAAAATGTATTTCAGGAAAAAAAATGTTGTTATGAATGTGAATGAAATGTTGTTTATGACAGTTAAAGAAACAGGAACTTCTTATGAATAAAAAGAAAACACTTATACACATAATAATATGATATGTAACAAAAAATTAAAAAAAATTCATCATTTAAACTAAAATAAATTAAATAAAAAATTAAATATGATAAAATGAATAAAACAACAAAAAAATGTAAAAAAAAATTAATACAAAATTAACAAAAAAGATAAGAAAAATTTTAAATAAAATAACAAAATAAAACAAAAAGATTAATATGCAATTAAAATAAATTAAATTAAATAATATGAACTAAAATAAAATAATATATGACAAAAAAAAATACAACAAACAAAATGGAATAAAGAAAAATAAAACAAAAAAAATAAAGGAAAATAAAATAACATAAAATAAAACAAAAAAATAATATGTAGTTGAGAAGAACAAAATAAAATTAAATTAAATAATGTAAAATAAAATAAACTATAATAATATAATATAAAATAAAACAATATAAAATGAAATAAAATAACATAAAAAATTAAAGTAAAATAAAATAAATTAAAGTAAAATAAAATAAAATATAATCATGAATTAAATAAAAAAAATAATAAAACAAAACAAAATTAAAAACATTCAAAGCAGAATAAAAATATAAAATCCTCTAAAGTAACATATAAAAAAATTAAACTAAAATTTAATAAAGAAGTTAAGTGAAATAAAATAAATTAATAGAAGCAAATAATATTAGAAATATGCAATAAAATTAAGAAAAATAACGTGATAAAAGAAAAAAAAAATTTAAAAAAAAATAAAAATGAAATTATTTGAAATAAAATAGAATAAAAAAATAAAGAAATTAAAAAACTTAATTTAAAAAATAACAAATTAAAAACTAAAAATTAAAAAAAAAAAAAAAAAAAAAAAAAAAAAAAAAAAAATAAACTTAAGTATAATATATAAAATGTATTAAAATAAAATAAAAGATTGAAATAAAATAAAATATATATAAAATAAAAAAAAAATAAAAAAATAAAAAANAAAATAAAATAAAATAAAATAAAAAATAGAATGAAACAAAGTAAAAATAAAATTAACTTTATTGAAATGAAATAAAAAAAAGAAATAACGTATTATAAAAAAATAGATATAATAACAATAAAATATATATAACATAAAGTAAAACAAAAAAATAAAATAACATATAATAAAAATGATGAAAAAAATATAATAAAACGAAATAAAAAATTAAATTATACAAAATTAAATTATATAATAAATAAATAACACGAAATAAAAATAAAATGAAATACAAAAAAAAATTTTAAATAAAATAAAAGGAAAACATCAAGACGCATAGAGTATACGAATTGGAAATGTTTCTTGTAAAAAAAAAAAACAAATAAAATTTAATCAAAAAAATTAAATTAAATAAAAAAATAAAATTGAATTAAAAAAACAAAATAACATAAAACAAGTTAAAATAAATTAATAAAACAGAAAATAAATTAAAATAATAGAGTA